CAAGAAGACAGATCAAACAGGCGCACCATTCACCCATCCAACGCTCGACAGGTGACGGCTGGCAGTGGCCAGCAGCCGTGGTGGAGCAGGTGCGCAGGTGGACTAGCCACTGCCTATCATCGCAGGTCTGTGCTGGAGCATGCTTGGCCCCATGCGTTGTGAGCGTCATCAGCTGGGAAAGTATTGGGAGAAAGTCGGTGGTCTGCCCTCTGCCCAGGATGTTGAGAGATGGAAGCTGAATGATCCAGACTCTGATGATCTGCCAGCTGGGAAGGAGAAGTGTTCTGCCGGACTTCCCTAAAAAATGAAGGCTGATGTCAAGTCTTTAAGAAATGGGGTTGCGATTTCTCGGGCGAACGATGTGTCTCCATTGAGAAAGAAGCCAAAGCTCCCTTATACTGAAAAGATTCAAGTAGGAGCTGTTCCCTCGTCATCTGCTAGGGTTAAACATCCCGCTGGTGCAAATAACAGGAAGGTTGGTGGTATGAGTAGTGCTCGGGATGATCTACTCAATCCTCATGCTGACAAGCTTGGAAACCGTGACCTGCTCCGTGGAGTGGTCCGCTCGCGAACTAGTTCACCTATTGAGAGGTAAAGAGATGCAGATATTCCTCTCCGAAGTTCGGGTCATTTTCACCAGTCAAAGAGTGGAGGTCGATCTAGGAGGTCTACTCATCCATCCAACCATCATGATCCAGTTGTTGAGTCACGAACCGTCAAGTGTTCTTCTGCAACGTCAATGGTTGGCAAAGGCTAAGAAAGCGAGAGAGTCATCTGCCCGAGCGAAGGGTTCTTCTGCAACGTCAATGGTTGATCCCAAGGTGGACAAGCCCAGCCTTGCAGGAGATGCAGGCGTGTCTGATCTGCTCAAAGATGAATTTTCTGTCAAGCCCGCCCACTTGTTCTGAGCTGTTTAACCACGTCTGCCAGGCCGGCGATCTTGGCACCTTCTCGAGTCCTTCCTTGGAAAAACAAAGGGAAGCGACACTTCATTTGCTTAAAAAATGATTAGTTTTTATTGCTGAGACTATCCGGAACTCATCTGATGTTGCCCCCTCTTCTGCTCAGCTCAGCGAGCTGGAGAAGAAGAATGCTGAACTGGCCAGCAAGCTTTCTACCGAGCAGGCCCGGTATGAGAAGAAGGTGCCTGATTTGAGGGCAATGATATTGGAACTGAAAAGCTCCCTTGCCGACAAGGATTTCGAGCTCAGCGCTTCTGCTGCTGATTTGGATAGTCGAAAAGATGCCTTCTTCCATCTTGAATGCAAGAATGCTGACATCTCCCTTGGTTATGACAAGCTCCTGGCTAGGTTTCATGCCTACCACATGACTGCTGAAAAGTCCAAGTCTGAAGCCACCATAGACGCGTACAAGTTGGGCTACCTACACTATGCAGATGGGACTGCTCCCTTTTATGCAATTGAAGATGTAGACATCGAGATGCTTTGCCCTGACTTATTCCCTGTGCAAGGAGGAACTAAAGAGCAGGCAGCTGGAGCGGATGAAGCTGAGGAGGACGCAGTAGATGAGATGATGGCAGATGTCGCGGATCAGGCAGGTGGAGCTGCTGAAGGCATGGTTGATCAGGTGGATGCATAAGAGGCTGCAGATCAAGGGCCTCCTGCTGGCGTCTAGGAGTAGATGAAGACTTTTTTACTTCTTTTCAGCTTTTGTAGTCTGCTTTCTTGTTTAGAATAATTGGTCTTAGTCGACCATTTTCCTTTTGTTGAATTTGGCCTGTTGGTCAGCTTGCTATGGAAATTTCAGTTATTTTTTCAACTTCAATTTGCATATTGACTTGTGAACTGCTTGAGTAACCAGCCTGTATGTTGATTGTGCATCTCCCTTGGGAGATTTATGAGTGCCAAGGTCCTCCTTGAGGGACTCTGGGCATGTTCTGCCTATGTCCAGAGACATGTCGATGAGAGTGGCCCGTTTGGCCTACGTCCGGACATGTCGATGAGTGTGGCCCGTTTGGCCTACGACTGGAGACGTGTCGGTGAGAGTGGCCCGTTTCGCCTACGTCCGGAGACGTGTCGGTTAGAGTGGCCCGTTTGGCCTACGTCCGGAGACGTGTCGGTGAGTGTGGCCCGTTTGGCCTACGTCCGGAGACGTGTCGATGAGTGTGGCCCGTTTGGCCTACGTCCGAAGACGTGTCAATTGCATTTGTGAACACTCCATTAGAGAGAAAAGCTTGAACTTGTGTTAATGTCTACGTGACTACATTGCTTTATTGAGCAAAAGAGATGAGTTGCAGGGGTAACATCAAAAGTAACTTGTCTTCAATGAAGGTGAGGGAGGCCTGGCCGCCTGCTTGGAGCCGAGCTGATAGGCGAGGAGCTTCGTGGATAGTACCTCCGGAGATGATGGGTATTCCATTGTCTTGGAATTTCCTTCTCTTAAAAGATGATGCCAGGATCGTTTTCCATGACTAGGTAGCTGGTGACAGCTTGGGAGACAAAGGTCGCTTGCTTCATCCTTCTCTGCTGCTCCCCGGTGGTCAGCTCGGGCTCTTAGAGTCGGCTAGGATCGTGCTGATCCGTATGACTTTTTTTGTGGAGGCTCATTGGCAGCTACATCACGATCCTTGATTTGCTGGACGGCCCCTCTTGCGATGAATTCCGTGCAATGGCCGTCTCTGACCAATTCTTCGAGGTGTTTTTTCCAGGCAAAGCGGTTATTTGTGTAATGACCGTGCCCTTCATGGAATTCGCAGTACTTACTGGTATCCTTCTTGGCTGGGGTTCCCTTCAAAGGCGATGGGTTCTTCAACCAAGGCATGTTCTTTACTTGGGCCAGGATCTGGTGTATCGGGATAGTGAACTTGGTATAGCTCTCGGCTGCTGGAGCACCTCCATGAGGCTATAATCCGCGCTTGCCTCCATCCTTGTCATTTATTCTGTAGTTCCTTTGGCTTGCCTGCTCAACTGGTTGATTGGCTTGCTTGGCAGCCTTCTTTGCGGCGATCCGATCATCGTCCCAAAGTACGTAGCGCTCTGCTGTCGCGAAGACTTCTACTAGTGTTTGGCAAGGAAAGATGGTCAGCTAGCGATACAGTTCACACTCAATTGGAAAGCCTCTCTTGAAGGCCAATTCGATCATCACATCCAATCATGTTTACCCTTTCTGCTTTGAACCTCTTGATGTAATCTCGGAGGAATTCATCGTGCTTCTTTTGCAGGTTGAACAGGTGGTCAGGGTTCTTCTTGATCGTCCGGTAAGAAGTGTATTCTTTGGTGAATGCGTAATTTAGCTCTTTGAAGCTGCTAATCGACTCGAATGGTAGGGTGTGAAGCCAGTCTTGGGCTGCTCCTAGCAAGGTCATTGCAAACACCTTGCACATCAGCGCGTCGTTGGCATTGTAAAAGATCATGACACTTTTGAAGTGCTTTAGATGGCTCTCGGGATTGGAATCCCCTTTGAAATGCGTGAATGAAGGCATTGAGAATCTCTTTGGGGGAGCAACCTGTTCGATTTCGGCAGTGAAAGGCGTAGAGTTTGGTTGGTCCACCTCCCTGCGTAGAGCATCTTCGAAATTTCCGCCAATCTTTAAGTTACGAAGTCGGTCGTTTACGAGCTTCTCAACGTCCTCCGTGCGCATGGCTTGCCGATCACGTTGGTGACCCTCGTGATTTAGATGGGGATGGTTGACTTCCTCGTCGACTTGAAGAGGTTGACCTCCTTGGTTGCCCTGCCCGTGAGGCAGATTGGTAGATTGAGTCGTCGCCGCGAGTTGGTTCTCAAGCGGGTTAGTGAGCGTCGGTCGTTGCGTTCGTCACATAATCGTTCACGGACTCGTGGCCCCTGTGAGCCCAGTCTTGAATGGATCGTCGATTGGCTCAGAGTACGGCTTGTAGATGTCTGCGTCTCGTCAGCACGATCTCGTTCTCTCCCCTGCCAGTTTGTATCTGATTGACTAGTCTGGATCCCTCAAAATGCTCGCCAGTATGCTCACGGATCCCTCTCTCCTTGCCACGGGCTCCAAGGTCAAGGCCTTGATTCAAGTTGATCTACCTAAGTAGTTGGCCAATTAGATTGTTTTGGTCGTCGACCCTCTGCGTGAGTTGATCAACCCGTGAGTTGAGGCCTGCTTGACTGCGTTGGTCGGGAAGAGAGGTGTGGATCGGGCCCAATGACATATGGGCTAGGGCTCCATTAGACGCGTACACAGGTGCATACGTCAAGTGTGGTGGTAGAGGAGGGAGCGAGTGGATTTGCTCCAAGATGGCGTCGTCGCTTGGTCCTTGTGGTGGCAAGGTGGAGAAGGCCACGGGGCCATGGCTTGGTGCGGCCAAGAGTGGTGCAGCAATTTCAGCCGCTATTTGGTGGTTCACAGGGGTGATTTGTGGCTGCAAGGAGCTGTCCCCACGGTTTAGTGGCTGTCCGGTTGCTACAACAGTTGTTTGGAGAGGTTGTGAGGCCTCCAGAGGTGGTTGGATGACATGGGCAGCCACCGGGGGCTGTTGGAACTCGCTAGGGAGCTGCTAGGAAGCGTTGGCGGCCATGGGAGGCTGCTGCAAAAAGCTGGCAGCAGCTGTACCTCGCTGTGGCAGCGAGGTTTCGGCCGTTCCGGAGTGCGCCGTCGCGGTGGTTTTGTTCCTAGGGCATTTGCTTCCAACCATGGTTGTTTGGAAGGCTTTGGTGGATTGGAAAATGGATTTGGAGGACGCTTTGAGTATTATTTCGCGCTCTCAATGAAAGCACCAATTTGTGGGAGCAAATTTCCCCACGAGAATATTCGATTGGAAAGATTCCCTTTTCTTCTTTGCCGCCTCTTTCTCCCTGCAAAATAGAACAAATAAGAGGACCACACCCGGGAGGTGTTGGCCAAAGGCCCTCTTATGCTAATAGGGTACGGAGATATGTTTATGGAGTAAACCGGGCAGCCGGAGCCTTATGTAAAAGAGAGAGAGAGAGGAGGTGGCTAGGGTTTGTGAGGGGAAAATCTCTATAGAGTTTTAGCAGTAATTCTGACGTACCTCAATCCTTGTGCGTAGCCAAGTATTTATAGGGGGCCTCGATGAGGTTGGTGAGGTTGGTGTATTTAGGGATTTAAATCAAATCCCTAATTGTGGTAGGTATCCAATCAATTCCCAATCTGATTAGGTAACTCCTCATTTAATTGGGAAATGTGGTAGGAATCAAATCAGTTTTCAACTTAATTAGGTAATCCTCAATTTAATTGGATATCCCCCAATTAAATTGAGTAACTCCCAATTAGATTGAATAATTCCAAATTAGGTCAAATAATTCCAAAATGGAAGGAATTATCTGACCTAGGGTTTTGATTTAATTTGGCTCCCGCAGTGGTGACATCAGGTTTTCTCTAACGAAGGGATTTTAGAGTCTTTGAAGTTTAAACACATAAATTCAAATGTGTAAAGAGATCATGAAACATCTGTCACATGAACTAGCTAGCTGTCACCATCATTGAATCCATCAAACAAATTATTCACTAAATGTGGCTGATTGGTTGAAGATAACCAAATTTAATTTCCAAGAGGCAGATAAGGTTTCTTGGAGCTTCTGTTTGTACCAATTCAATGGAAATTTGGAAGGCCCGGGCAGGCGGTGGAGACGGTAAAATCACTAGATAGTCCACATTGTTTATATAAAATGAATCGACTAAAGCGGCTTCCTTGTTTAGAAAGAAAAGCATTGTTAATTAAATTACTGGGAAGGGGACTTTGTTTTTGCCAATGCATGCATGCAACTCAGTCCTCATTCAGTAGAAGTCAAAAAAGTCAAGGGCTGCACCCTGCGGTTGTTATATACATAGAAGAAGAAGGGTGAAGAGAAAGAAACCAAATCTTTGCTGAGTGCCTTTGACATCCTGACCATGGCAACCATGCGAATGCTTCTCTTTCTGGCTATCTTCTATTCTGCAGGGATTTGCATGATCTCCTCTGTCACAGACCCCAATGATGGTATGTTCTTGCATGATCTCCTCTTTTATGTTAATTGAAAAATGAACATTCTGCACATATATGCCTAAAAGCTCTCTTAAGGGTAGTTTGATTGATTTATAAGCGTGTCGATCCAGCTGCTGTGCTCCTATCCTTGAAGAATTCGTGGCAAAATACGCCACCCAGTTGGGACAAGTCAAATGATCCCTGTGATTCCCGGTGGGAGGGAGTCACCTGCAACAATGCAAGGGTGTCTAGACTGTGAGTGCTGCTGTTGATCTATCTTTGTAGTTAAAGGGCAATGATATCACTTTCTTCCCTTACTATAGATTTTTACTTTTATGTGCAGGGGATTATCAAACAGGAGCCTCAAGGGGAAACTTTATGGTGACCTTAGTGGACTCACTGAATTAAGATCCTTGTGAGTATGATTTGTCCTCTTTTTAGCAGCATTATATTTGCAGAATACTGCCAATTTGAAGTGAGTTTTAAAATATGTAAAGCATACACTTGAAACATATTTCTTTTGAATTGTCAGTTATTTTGATATCTTAATGTTTGATTTTTGAAGCTGAAACACTCACACTGTGCAGGGACCTTTCCTTCAACCCTGGCCTCACAGGTCCTCTCTCTCCAAGATTAGGGAATATGAAAAATTTAAGTATCCTGTAAGAACAAATGAGCAAGCAATTTTCATATTTCCAATTTGAGCATTGTATATGCAAAATGCAACATACATTTTTTATTTTTTATATATATTGAATGAGAATTCATGACACTTTTCGTCTTTTAGGATCCTAGCTGGTTGCAGCTTCAATGGAGAAATTCCAGATGAATTAGGCAATCTTGCAGAGCTATCCTTCTTGTAAGAAAATATTAGTAATCATGCTTTTAGTGCATCAAGTCAATATGAGTTTTTTCTTTTCCCAACTTTATGTAAATCTTTGGTCCTTCTCAGGGCTCTGAATTCAAATAACTTTTCTGGTGCCATACCTCCTTCTTTGGGCAAACTCTCCAAACTCTACTGGCTGGACCTGGCAGACAATCAGTTGACTGGAACAATTCCAATTTCGACCTACCATTCCCCTGGCTTAGACCTCCTGTTGAAGGCTAAACACTTGTGAGCAATTATCCATATCCCAACTCTTCTCCATTGTGAAAAAGTAAAATTTTGATAGGGATTATGCCACTGTATAAGCACTAAAATGATTTTATGAACATGCAGCCATTTGAACAAGAACCAGCTTTCAGGTTTCATACCGGCCAAACTTTTCAGCTCTAAGATGGCACTGATACACTTGTAAGTTGATCCCATCAACTAGTTTATGCTCTCTATTTTTATTTTGTCTAACTGATTTTCGTTCTTCGCTTGCAGGTTGCTTGACAGAAATAGGTTTACTGGTACTATTCCAGCAACATTAGGACTTATTAAGACTCTTGAGGTTCTGTAAGTAAAACCAAATCTTGAATTTCTTTGTTTTATTTTCCACTTCTAAGTATATGCTTCTTGACAACAATTGGACTCAAGACAATCCTGTTTGCAACAGTCGGCTTGATACAAATACTCTGGCTGGAAGTGTCCCCTCAAATCTTAACTACCTTACAAATGTCAACGAATTGTGAGTATCAATTTTGCAGACTCTACTGTTCTATTTAACCATCATCTTGTTGGTTGTTAATCAGATTTTTCATGGTTTACATATTCTCTTCCAGAAATTTGGCGCACAACTACTTGTCAGGCCCTCTACCTGACTTAAGTGGAATGAATTCCCTTAATTATGTGTGAGTAGAAGACATGGAGCTATCATTTCTAGTTCCAATATTCCTGCAAATTGTTTGTTTCTCTGTTGTACTGACAAATCCTAATGTTTTACTCTCAGAGACCTTAGCAACAACTCATTTGACCCATCAGAAGCTCCACTTTGGTTCTCAACCTTACCCTCACTCACCACTTTGTAAGTTCTCAGGAGGTTGTATAAAAGTCTTTGTATCTCTTCACAAGTCTAAGAAAAGTAAACTTTGAAAACTTTATTTGAAATCCTTTGTTGAACTTCTCTCCTTTTATGGCACACAGAGCCATAGAATATGGATCACTTCAAGGGGTTGTGCCAGAGAAGCTTTTCAGCCTTCCAAATTTACAACTAGTGTAAGTTCCAGGGAGAACACTCAAGAATATATGCATCAAAGTTTTTACTGTAAATTTATGAAACTGATCATTTTTTTTAACTCTTGACAGGAAGCTCAAATACAATGCGTTCAACGATACGTTGAACATGGGCGATAGCATCAACCCACAACTGCAGCTTGTTGATCTGCAGAACAATCAGATTTCCAGAATAAGTCTGGGTTATGAATACAAAAATACATTAATGTGAGATAGTTGATGGGCCTTGATCTTGATTTCCTATGATAATTGTGTATTTTCCCCTCACCATCACTCTTGGGTGTCACTTTTACATGTTGCAGACTTTTCGGGAACCCGGTTTGCAGCAGCAGTTCTGGTGCATCAAATGCTACTTTCTGTCAGCCTCCCCATCAAACTACAAAATCTTAAATGGTCAAGATGAGAGCTTTTAGCCAACTTGTGGAAAATGGTGCAAAAGTGGGGATGCCTGTATTCATCTAAGTTCTTCGAAGTCAAGTCAACATTGTAAAAATGGAGAATCATTCTCTCTCCTTGATATCCCATTTGTTCTTTCTTTACACGTGATCAGATTTTATTTGGTGAAGCTTCTTCTATCAAACAAGCCAATGTCATGAAATCGTGCTTTGAAAAGTTCCGCATGCCTCAGGCCAACTGCCTAACTTTTAAAAAGTCAAGATTTTGTGTTCCCATCCCCCTTAATTGAGATTGTGTGGTTTTGATCATTATATGTTGTTTATTTTGACACATTCTCTCTGCTAGTCTCTGTCTTTCGTCTTCAACGCCATGAATGAAGCGTGAACCCTCAAGAAACGAAATCAACCCACATGCAAATATGTCCTGTCGTACATGAGCATTGTACAGTCATAAAATTATGTCAACTCTAAATCCCCTCCAACTGTAGGGACAGGCTGACAGCCATATTAAATCCATTAATTTTTTTATTTTTTTAATATGTCATCTTCGGACTTTCATGTTATATGGATATTATCTTCAACATAAAAATATGTCCTGTCATACATGGCATTGTACAGTCATAAAAATATGTCAACTCTAAATCCCCTCCAACAGTAGCGACAGCCACATTAAATCCATTAATCTTTTATTTTTTAATATATATATTTTTAAATATGTCCATCTTCACTTCGGCCTTTCATGTTGTATGGATGTTATCTTCAAGTTACACACGGGCTGAATTAATGTGTAAAAATTTTATCTGAAAATGCCTCGATACAACTTAAGGAGATACCCAATTGAATTGTTTCATAGGATTCATAACATTCTATTAGCTTTGGGATTGCCCTCTCAAAGATAATTAGGTCAAACTCACTATTGAAGGCAGTAGGAAAGGAAGGATACTGAATTCAGCAATTGGAATTGGAGAAGCTGTAAGATACCATAATTATTGTTCATGGTTGGTTTTGCTACTATAATTTCAGGTGTGCCAGATGTAGGCCAGGCTACGTTTGCTTTGGGATACAAAGGATTCTTTTCCATCCAAACTGAAGTAGAATTTGTCCCAATGTGTCCCCTGGGAAGGAGAGAATCTAACACAAAATCTCGGGTTTAAATCTAAATGCTCTTAATCAATTGAGTTACCGGATATTAAGTCTTTGATTCATGTAGCTCATATTTTTTTATGGAACTGATAAAACTTCAATCGAGATTCTTATTGGTATGGCTAGACAGCGATTTGTGGCTCGTTTGTTTATTAACCTTTGACCCCTTGGCACAAAAAATATACTTTATCTTTTGTAGAATAAACTTGGTTGTATTTAGAAACAGTCGTACCATAGAAGTTGACTGTTTGAATTAAATTTTTGTTTTGTGAAAACAATCATCAAGTGGATCTCATCTTAAATTAAATGCTTGAATACCAAGTAAAACAAAGGAAAAGACCCTACCGCCAACCACCTAGTGAGGCAAAACATTGAGTTACAAAGGTCTTGTCTTTATCCACTTCTTACGAAAATGAAAACCTTTTCATCCATTCAACATGAAAGTGGATCATACTATGAATTGTGTGAGAATGTGAAGGTAAAGAGTCCCACATTGGAAAGTTGAGAAATTTAGCAAGGGCTTATAAGGAGTTGGGCTACTCCTTTCATTGTCAATTGGTTTTGGGATGGAACCTCAACCTCCTTCATAGTATCAGAGCAGGTTAGCCCACGTGTGAAAACCTAACGGCCACACGTGCTCCACGTCACCCAATATGTGTTGTCCACGTGTTAGGCTTGAAAATTCGCCACACGTGTGGGGGCGCGTGAGAATGTGAAGGTAAAGAGTCCCACATTGGAAAGTTGAGAAACCTAGCAAGGGTCCCACATTGGAAAGTTGAGAAACCTAGCAAGGGCTTATAAGGAGTTAGGCTACCCAAGAGCCTTGATTTTCATGTCAGCTTGTGGGACCCATTTTCACCAAAAGCCAACTGTACCCATTAAATGACCTAATTAAATTATATCAATGCAAGTTGGAACTTAATTAATTAATTAAAAATTGATTGAAAAGTGGAGACTTTTAGGCGTAAATTATATCAATAAGATGATTTTGATAGAGGAAAGATGATGATGTTTTTTTGGACTTTGTGTGATGATTTCGGTTGGTGGGTTTTGGAAGGTGCTTATTGTTAAGGCCGAAGGTTGACAAGGCTTAATCATTTAAAAGAAGCTCAAAAGGGCCATCCCAAATCTTTTTCTGTTCTCTCTCTCCATCTCTCTCTCTCTCTCTCTCTCTGTGCCTGCAAGTATTTTTTGAAGACAGTTGAAAAAACCCAACTTACCAAATCAAGCTTTCAAAGCAAAACTTGTTCTGAATTGGTGGGAACATGTACATGCGCATGTACATACATGCATGCATGCTGTCAAGGACTCATTAAATAAAAATCTTCAAGTGGTGTAGTTGGTAGAGTGGAAGGAATTGAATTGAAGGGTGTGTCTACGTGGAGTGAAGTCTTTGCAAAATGCTTTTTTGACCATCTGGGGTTAAATAGAAATGTGCTTTTTTTGACCTCTGCTTACTAGCTGATCAGCCTCACAGAGACACCAGTTTTCTTGATTTGCTTGCTCCTTCACCACCATGGCAACCATGCGGTTGCTGCTCTTTCTGGCTTTCTGCTCTGCTGGGATTCATGTGATCTTTCCTGAAACAAACCCCGATGATGGTATGGTCTCAATTATCAATATTTATTTGTCCATTTATTGATTTCCTATTTAATGGGAAATTGGGGTTTTGGTAGTTTGAGCTTTGGCCTAGATATGCGAAAGACTTTGCAATATCATGTTGATCCTCCTGTTTCTCATGTTTTTGCATGCAAACTTGGTAATTAATCCATTTAGTTTGTGTTTAATGCAAGCTTTTCTTAATGTTTTGGCTAAATTTTGATTGTAAGTTGAACATCCTGCACATATGTGTGTACAAACTTTGTGTTAAGGTAGTAGATTGATTTGTAAGTCTGTTGGTCCAGCTGCTGTTTTCATGTCCTTGAAGGAGGCATGGAAGAATCTTCCACCCAGCTGGAACGACAAGTCAAATGATCCCTGTGGAATGAAATGGGAAGGAGTCACCTGCAACAATTCGAGGGTGACCGCATTGTGAGCATTGTTCATCTTTGAATTTTCATGCGATCCTTGTAGGGCATTGGTGACTTACTTTCTTGCACAAATTTTCAACCTTGCACTTTTTTATGTGCAGGGGATTATCAGCAATGAACATGAAAGGACAAATTCAAGGCGATATTGGGGGACTCTCTGAATTAAGATCCTTGTGAGTATAATTGCTCCTCTTTGTACCAGCATTATGTTTGCAGCACATTATGAATTGAACCGAGATGCAATGCAACAGATTCAGTATGTAAACATATGCATAAAACATATTTCTTTTGCAGTACCAGTTATTTTGTTGTCACTCAATCTTGATTGCAGGGACCTTTCGTTCAACCGTGGCCTCACAGGTTCTCTCTCTCCGGGATTAGGAGATCTGAGCAAGTTAAATATCCTGTAAGAACATATTAGCAAGCAATTTTCATATTTGCACCTTTTGAACTTTGTATATGCAATACAAGCTTTTACATTGGATAAGTATACAACACTCCTTTCATCTTTTAGGATCTTAGCTGGCTGCGGCTTCAGTGGCAATATTCCAGATGAATTGGGCAATCTTGGAGAGCTAACTTTCTTGTAAGAATTGAATTGATAGGCCTACTGTTAGTGCAAACCATTCTAAGTTATTTCTTTCCCAACTTTATATAATTCTTTTGTTCTTTTCAGGGCTCTGAATACGAATAAATTCACTGGTAAAATACCTCCTTCTTTGGGTAAACTCTCCAAACTTTTCTGGTTGGACCTGGCAGACAATCAGTTGACTGGAACTCTACCAATTTCAACCAACGTTACCTCAGGCTTAGACAAACTATTGAAGGCTAAACACTTGTGAGTATTTTTTCCATTTCCCAAACTCTCTCCATTGTGAAAAGATGAAATTCTAATAGGGATTATGCCATTGCTTATTGCTGAAGGCTAAACACTTGTGAGTCCATTTCCCAAACTCCCTCCATTGTGAAAAAATGAAATTCTAGTAGGGATTATGCCATCATAAACATTAAACTGATAATATAGACATGCAGCCATTTCAACCAGAACCAGCTTTCAGGTACCATTCCACCCAAACTTTTCAGCTCTGAGATGGTACTGATACACGTGTAAGTTGATCCCATCGATCATTTTTTAATTTGGCATGATGCCATCTATCAGTTTATGTTCTATATTTTTATTCATCTAACTGCTTGTCATACTTGAACTGCAGTTTGTTTAATGGAAATAAATTTACTGGGGAGATTCCATCAACAGTAGCACTCGTTCAGACTCTTGAGGTTCTGTGAGTAAAAAAAAAAAACAGCTTGATTTTGTTATTCTTCCACATATTAGCATCTACTTCTTGACACTTATGGGACTCGAAACCTTCTCGTTTGCAACAGCCGGCTTGATAGAAATGCTCTGACGGGAACAGTCCCCTCAAATATCAGCAATCTAACAAAAGTCAATGAACTGTGAGTAGCAATTCTCTAACTAAGAGGATACTCTAATGTGGTGTTACCTTAATCTTAATTATGGTTAATAATCTTTCACATGATTTTATGTTCTCTTCCAGAAATTTGGCTTACAACAATTTGACAGGCCCTTTACCTGACTTAAATGGAATGAGTTCCCTCCATTATGTGTGAGTAAGATGGCATGGAGCTGTCATTTCAAGTTCCAAGTTTCCTCCAAGTTGTTCTTTTGTTGTACTGATAAATGCTAATGATTTTACTTCAGTGACCTGAGTAACAACTCATTTGATCCATCAGAAGCTCCAAGTTGGTTCTCAAACTTACTCTCAATCACCACCATGTAAGTCCTTAGGAGGTTACATAAAAAATGTCTTAGTATCTTTTTAATGAGTCCTGGAAAAAGACACCCCGAAAGCTTTATCGTAATATTTTGTTGAAATTCTCTACTGTCATGGAACCCAGCGTTTTAGAATTCGGAGCACTTCATGGGGCTGTGCCAGAGAATATGTTCAGCATCACATCATTGCAGCAAGTGTAAGTATAAGAAGAATACTGAAGAAAGCATCAAGTTTTGACTGTAATTTTGGGAAACTTGTCATTCATCTTTTCTTCTGACTCTTGACAGGAAACTGAAAAACAATGCGTTTAACGATACATTCAACTTGGGTGATAGCATCAGTTCAGAACTGCAGCTTGTTGATCTGCAGAACAATCAGATTCGTAAAATAACTCTGGGTGATGAATACAAACATACATTAATGTGAGGCAGTTCATGGGCCTTGATCTTGATTTTCTATGGTTGTGTATTTTAAAACACCATTCTTAGTTGTCACTTTTACATATTACAGACTTGTAGGGAACCCAGTGTGCACCAGTGCAAGTGCAACTAGCTCAATTCGGTACTGTCAGCTTCCGCAACAAAATACACAAACATATACTACTAGCTCGAATTGTGGAGGCATTACATGCCCTGAGGATCAGAAGCTCAGCCCTCAGAGTTGCCAATGTGCATATCCATTTGAAGGAACATTGGATTTCAGAGCACCCTCTTTCAGGGAATTGTCTAATGTGAATACGTTTCACTCACTAGAAAGAAGCCTGTTGGATCAACTTCGCCTCCCTCCTGGTTCAGTTTCTCTTGAAAAACCTTTCTTCGACATTAATGACCATCTTCAAATACAGCTGGCACTCTTTCCACCAACAGGAAAATATTTTAATAGGTCAGACATTATAAGGATTGGTTTTGATTTGAGCAACCAAACTTACAAGCCACCAAAGGAGTTTGGATTTGGACCCTATTTATTTAATCCAATTCCTTATACTTTTCCAGGTAATTTAAATTGCATCGTTACTTCGTATACAATTTCCCTGCATTAGAAGATTGATTAAACTGACAATAAAAACCTGAAATTGTTTCAGGCAAGAATAAAAGTTCTATGAGCACTGGTGTTATTATTGGGATATCAGTTAGTTGTGTATTTCTTGTACTGGGCCTCGTGGTAGTAGGAATATATGCCATTAGGCAAAAGAAACGTGCAGAAAGAGCCATTGGATTAAGCCGACCTTTCGGTAATTAATCATTCTTGTTGTTTATACTTGGGTACATTGAAATTCTGTCATTGACATTAGAAGTTGGTTTGCTTATATCACTCCTTTTCTCTATCTTCTAGCTTCTTGGGCACCAAGCGGGAAAGATAGTGGTGGTGCACCACAGTTAAAGGGAGCAAGATGGTTTTCTTATGATGAGCTTAAGAAGTGCACCAATAATTTCTCTGACAGTAATGAGATAGGATCTGGCGGATACGGGAAGGTATATATTCAAGTATTTCAGTAACTTATATGAAATTCTGCTTCAAGGTAAAGAATTTTTTTTTAAACCTTTTGGTTGGTTCTCCATAGGTTTACAGGGGCATGCTTTCTGATGGACAAGTAGTGGCAATCAAAAGAGCTCAGCAAGGATCAATGCAGGGTGGCCCTGAGTTCAAGACTGAAGTCGAGTTGCTCTCACGAGTTCATCACAAAAATGTTGTTGGCCTTTTGGGATTTTGTTTTGAACAAGGAGAACAGATGCTGGTTTATGAGTTTATGCCTAATGGAACACTCAGGGAAAGCTTGTCAGGTTAGTTCAAAGATTTTACTCTCAGCTATTTCATATTGCATAGAGATAACTTGTTTGCAATAGACATAGTTACCAACTTCACCTTTGCTTAAATTTGAATTGCAGGGAGATCTGGTATTCATCTTGATTGGAAGAGGAGACTCCACATCACTCTTGGCTCGGCAAGAGGACTAGCTTACCTACATGAGCTTGCAAATCCTCCTATAATTCACAGAGATGTCAAGTCCACCAACATTCTATTAGATGAACATTTAACCGCAAAGGTTGCAGATTTCGGCTTGTCCAAGCTGGTAGCTGACAGTGGAAAAGGGCATGTCTCAACTCAGGTCAAAGGCACACTGGTAAGCTTTACGTTATTAGCATTTCAACATATATTCATCCCATTGACACATTCTTGAGTTTTTACTCTTAAGTTTCTGTTTTGTTCTTGCAGGGATACCTTGATCCTGAATACTACATGACTCAACAGTTAACTGAGAAGAGTGATGTATACAGCTTTGGAGTGGTGATGCTTGAATTGATAACGGCTAGGCAGCCTATTGAGAAGGGAAAATACATCGTCCGCGAGGTACAATTGATGATGGACAAGAATGATGAAGAACACTATGGTTTGAGGGAGTTAATGGATCGAAGCATTCGAAACCCCGGAACTCTTATTGGGTTTGGGAGGTTCCTGGAGCTGGCCCTGCAATGCGTTGAAGAATCAGCTGCAGACCGCCCCACAATGAGTGAGCTTGTGAAGGCTATTGAAACCATTCTGCAGAATGATGGCATGAACACAAACTCAACATCTGCATCTTCATCAGCCACGGAATTTGCAGCATCAAAAGGAGCTCCTAAGCATCCGTACAACAATGGCTTGCTGAAAAAGGAAGTGAATGACAGCACTGGTGCCTTTGATTACAGTGGTGGATACGCAGTTTCGGCGAAGATTGAACCCAAGTAGTAGCAAAGGCCTGCAGCAGAGTTAATTTCTTCTTTTGTAATTGTACCCTCTCTTCTCTATCCATATATGTAAGTAGATACAGGAAAAGAATATATAGTGGTCTTTCATTTCAATTGCCAAATAGAAATTTAGTATGTTATGTTACAATGTTCCTAGGGGCCTCAAACTCGAATGCTACGAAGTTCATTTTTATTTTTATTTTTCGGATTGGATGCAATGAAGTTTTAGTAAGACCTGGATGATGGCATCGAAATTTTACTACTTTGAGTTTTGTACCATGATCACCTACAGAATTGTGTTGTGTTAGGAGTCGCTGCTTTTCCCAAATTTTACCATCTGGATTCTGTTTGTTTAGATTGTTTAAAGAATATCATATATACAATGAAAAGGGTTTTCTCAACTATCCACGCACACATCAATGATTGACAATCATTTCGAGTTGTCTGAATAAAAGTAGTCATTCCTTTATTAAAACTATAATTTCCCCAATTGATTGAGTTCAAATACAAGGCCAACTCTACTACTACTAGATCAATATCTTAGGTTGGGTAAATTTTAAAGTAGCAAAAAAATTGAAGACATTTAAAGTAGCAAAAAAATAATTAAAAATTTTAAAATTGGGCAACTGCTATATTTTCTGTTTTTGGTGGCTTTCTGAGATGTGGATGGCATAGTCATCAAAAAGAATTTAACTACCAAACATAAATAGAACTAAAAAAAAAAAAGATTAAAAGATAATAAAATAAAAACGAAAAAGGCGTATTACAATGATCACATCACGAGAAAAATAATTCTTAATTTGGGTTTTTTTTAGCTTTTTAAAGGAAGAGTCCAGTCACGAATGATATTCTCACTGATGTGAGAATTGGATCTGACCCCAAAGAATTATAACAAACACAAAGCATTAACTGAAGGTAAAGATTTAACCCCAAAAATAAAAAAACCAAAAACGAAAAAGAAAGGAAAAAAAAGGTTAAGTGTACGGTAAGCTCTTTCTCTTCTTCTTCACCCCTTTCGCAGAGAGATAATCAGAGTTTGTGTCAAAGAAGGAAATACAATCTGTGCCGTACTGTCCTTCCTCCAGGCTTGAGATTGATTGAATCGCAGTGGGAGACAGAGATACTGTGAGCTCATAAACAACCCGTAAAGCCATTAGAATGATTCATGCCACAGAAGAAGAAAAGCGCTTTACTTGTTGATGCGGCTGCGAGTGAGGCTTTGCATTTGATAACAATAAGAACCCAACAGCAAGAAGAAGCGCAAGAGGAAGAGGACGAAGAAGAAGGGCTGTTGTTAATTGTTGCTAATTGTTGCTTAATCGTGGGATTAGAGGATGAGATTGGTGGGTATGAAATCGGATTAGGAGGAGAGAGAGATGAAGGGAGGGCGTGGGGGTGGTGTTTATTCAGGGAAGCGGAGATGGAGAGGCCTGGTGATTGCAGTTTTGGGTCTGGTTTTTCTTTCCATGCTCGTTCCTCTTCTCTTCCTTCTCGGCCTTCACAATGGCTTTCACTCTCCGGGTAACTTACACTCACTCACTATATGACTCTAAAATTTCTTTGTTTTTAGATCTGTTTACAGAAACACATTGATGAAGATAAATTAGTGATGCTTTGGTTTCTTGCAGGGGGATCGTTCAAACCATGTAGATGATCTTGTGAAACAATTTGCACTAACCCTTTCAAAGGGTGGTTGTTGCATATTGCTCTGATGGTCAATACTTTATTACCTTCTTTGTTTTTTTTTTTTTTTTTTTTTTTTT